CTTCAATTGAATTCGGCCATGGGAACATTAGGAAACGTATTACAGAACACCTCAGAGATCATCACCTGGAACACCTGACGTGTTCCAAAAGTGTTGCGTTAAACGCGTTCTGGATGGTGTTTTTTCAAGTGTTCCGAATCGGAAAAATGTAGTGTAGGCAACAGGATATTGCAAAAGCGCTTTCGTTCATTAGTAAGGTAAATGCCAAAATATGCACATGTCCAAGTCAATCGATTAATTGACTTTAAAAGTATATACATATATGCTTTTTATTGAATCTCCTTTTTCTAATTTACGTTTGCATGGAGACAATTCCACCATGTGAGATGCTCACGAGAGTTTCTTTTTGCTTGTTTGCTTTCGGCCAGGCGTCATTTCAGCCACCCTCTTATCTGCCCTAAATCAGGCAATTTTCGTGATCGTAATGTATTCTGGGCGATTGGCTAATCTACTCAACGAACCATGATGAAGTGCGCACAAAAAATCTTAACGGCAAATAGAAAAAAACAAGGGATTTTTTTATTTACCGCAAAAGAATCCATCGAATCGAGGTTGACTTAATGTCGACACCTTGAGTAGTGCAGCATTGGTTCGATGTTGATTCACCATAGAACTATGAACCTTCAACAGTGAAACATTCGATCTACACCAAATCAACGTTGAATAAATGTTATGTGCTACCTGGGTTAATACCTTTCTTCAACCCATTTTTGTCTCAAAATTCAACCTCCTCGTATTTCTCTCTGAAAGCATCTACAGGAACGAAATCGGGCAAGCTTTTCCCCTCTCAACACAGAATCAAACACAAGTTTTAACTTCCATCTCCCTGCGGTTGTGGAGAACATAAAAACTCGCCTTTTGAATATGTGAATTTCATTCTTTTTTTAATTCTCTCTTTCTCCCTCCCCCCCCCCCCCCCATTCACCCTGGGGGTGGGTTTCTTGGAGGAAAGAGACCAACCAAAAGAAACATGTCGATTCGTAGATGACGAAAAGTGCCCTTTTTTGTTGTTTGCAATGTACCATTCCTCCATAAGTAAGGAGATTAGCTGTCGTTCATTTTGGCTTAGCGTCCTGGTTCCATTGCCGTCCCCCACGGTTGCTTGGTATCGTATTTGAGTCTTGTGAGATTCATAACTGCTTCTGCTTTCGTACCGGTGTCTGAATCTTCTTTTTTTAAAATGTATGATACACATTCGTACTAAGTTCATGGGATGAGGTGAGAATGAAGTAGTAGTTGACGGTGTCCATTCGATAAGGTATCTTACTGATGTTGTACATGGGCATCCTTCCTGATGATGGTGCCCAACTTGCATTTCATTTTCGAGGCATTCTCTCGTCAGACCTCGTCGAGATGGTTCGAGTGACTCCAGATACGCCTCGCATTGCAGCCTTCACTGAAGTAGTTCGTTAAACTCGAAGTGGCTCATAATGGGTCTAACGTTATACGTCCCCTCTGAAATGCTTCGCGAAAGTTACATTTGATCCATAATTGGCCTAAATTTACGCGTTTTCGACATCTCGAAAGCACTGAGAGTAACCCCATATAGGCCAAATTGGCTCAATCGAGTCGAGGTGTGAGTTTTTTTTTTTTTTAACTAAGAAAGGCCTTGCCCTGACCTGAGGACAATCCGTGGGTAGGCTTAGGCGTAATGTTAGTGAGTCCTGTAGAGAATGGGTGGGGGTTGAAACGAAGGAAGATCTTTGAAAAATGGCTTTCACATTACTTCACTGTAACATTGGGTGTGGGTCTCCCCTATTTTCTGCGGAATTGGAATATCCCTATTTCTGATTATCTCGAGACCTTGATCTATTGCTGACGACATAGCTTGGCAAAGTAATGTCCCAGAGGATGTTACTTCTCCATATGGTTATGGAGAACTTCCAATAAAATGGCAATATTTTCATTTAAATTAATACTGTACGCTACATGGATAAGATTTCCCCCACCCCATTGCCCCATAGGAACATTCCTCATAATTAATGACATCATGTCGATCTGGCATCCAAAGCCCAGGTAACACGTACACATAATGATAACATTGTGGTAGTGTTGCACCACAATATTTGGAGTGTTGTACCAATGTAAGCGAAAACATTATTACAACACCTAAATGTCCTTTTTTCCATGTCGTCATATTTTCCTCAGTGTTGTGACAACTTATCCATTCTGGAATTACAACATTGTGACGACAGTAAGTGAGAAAGGATAATTGTGGCAGTATGGTTTGTATTTAAGAATACTCTCAAATACCCTTCCATTAATACTTGCAGCTGCCAGCTGTGCTTATGCTGGCAAGTTTGCAGCGCATGCCGAGTACTTGTTCGAAGCGACACTATAAGGATTAAGTTGCCTCAAAAAAAATCCATTTCTTCATGGAAGAAATCAAAAGTCAATCCTCTATTAAGACATTTGCTCCTTAACCTCCTTTAGATAAATCAGAGCCTAGAAGACATTTAACGCTATGGAGTGAATTACAAAGTCTTGCCATGTTCCTTTCGACCCGAATGCAAGAATATATAAGAAGTACCTGGGAGCTCCTTCCGCCGTGTAACTCACTTAAACGGGTCTATCCAGGTATTCCAAAACTTTCCCCTGATTTTTACATGGGGAAAGACCATGTACCGACATCAAAATATCGGGAACTCATTTCCAGTACATGGAAGGGATATATATGCTATAGCGGCGCTGAGATGCCATCTGGCGGCGATTAGATGAACCTTTTAGATGGTAAGAGTATTACTCAGTTAACATTGTCAAAACGTTATAGGAAAATGTTGCGACAGCATACATTCCAAATTGGCATACCACGTTGAAACGACATAAACCAAACACGTCTTTGTTGTCTGGGATATGACTCATCTCGCCGACCATGAGAGAGTCTGCGACGAAGTCAGTGACTATGAAAGGAGACGTTGCCAATCGACACGGTTCTGTCACCGTTGCTTAGAGCTTGAAGAATACGAAATAAGGGAACGGCACAGGAGAGGGGATGCTGTATTCCTTCCACTGTTCGCTTCATAAGTCAGGTTATCGAACAAAACTGTCATACTGAATGCACACTGCAGTACCATCTCCCTGTACCGCTTCCCCATTATTCTTTATTTTCTTCCTATCATTTACTTATAATGACGAGGGGGAAGGGGAGGGGGAGGATGCAAAAAAGTGTTGCTTCTTTAAATGTGATTACATTCAATAATCTTGATGAGATTCAATAATCTACTTGCCATCTTGAGACCCTTTTCTTTAAAGATCCTACGGTTCGTCGCATCATTCAAACAAAGCGGAGCATTTCCTTGAGTATCCAGAATTAAATCAACACTAGCGTTGTCTTATCTTCGGGGGTGTAATGGATGGACGCACTCACGAAATAAGGTCCTATTAGGCTTATAGCAGAGTCAGAGATAAGGCCGGTAGAGCAGGATCTTGGTTCCTGCCCCTTAGCCTTTCAGATTCCTTACTGCTGCTGTTTTCGTTCGTGCCGTGAATTGTTGGTTGTCGCGATGAAGCCTTGCCGTGGAGCGTGGAGCCTGATGGTTTTTGCTCTTCATTCGCTCGATAGCGTTGTCGCTTTTTGCGTGAATCTGAATGAACTGGATCATGTGCTCGTGGAGAACTGTTCCCGGTGTCCATCGCATTATAGCGTTGCCGAATTTCCTGAAATCTGTGCGTGCTTCTCCGGTAAGAATGTAGAATGCGTCTGCTTGGGTGAAGACAGATGCGTCGATGCAATTCTGCCGGAAAAGGTCGTAAGAACTTATGCGGTAAAAGGTGCTCGATTACATACTCTTACTTTCTTGCACTTGCTTCCTTCGTATGATAGTGATGACATGTACCTGCTGTGCACTGAAAATCAGACGAATATGACGGGGTATGCAGTGGGTCACATCCAATCGATGGAGCAGTACGATGGACTCGCCGAGTTTCTCACCAAGGAACTGAATATCAGTGGTAAAGTCAAATGATTCTTCATATGTACCTAAAATGTAAGATGGGCTTACGAAACGTGGACGTAATTCGACATTCTCGGTCTCCTTATCTGTTTCTTCAGTTTCTTTCCATAGGTTTGATGACAGAGAATCGCATATGATACCAGTAAAAATCGCCAACCTAAATATTGAATACTGACGTAGTTGAGAGAATAAATTAAGTCTTCATCATCTACAATGTCTAAGGAATTCTCTGTTTTTGATGTTCTTCTGTGGCTGCTATTAGTAAGAGGCTAGTAAGAGAACGTATTGTTTTCCCAGAAGGGACAGAGAGGAAATATGAAATATGATCAATATGATACCACAGAGTCACGTCTGGCAGCAGCCTTGATACCCATCGCTCAACGGATCCTGGTAGAAAAACATAAGCAGGGAATGGATTAAAGGTTTCGGTTAGACATACTAGGAAAATTGGTCTCGCCCGCAGATATCGGGATCGGTTTTTCACATTCTTTCATTCAACTTAATTCAATGCTCATACGCTGGTCGTATTCGTATTCATCTGCCATCAATTCCTTGTTAAATCGACACCAAAAAAAAGAAAAATTAACCTGACCCCATCATATTTCCATGAAATTTGCCGAACTTTTCAAAGGAGATAAAATTACCCTTATTCTTTTTAAAGGTCAAAGGTCAGATCCTTCTACTTTTGACCTTTATTTTTATTTAAGGTCCTCGAATGACATATCATTTGAAATGTCATGGAGAGACCTTTAAAATGATACAAATATCACTTTTCTATGTTGATTATAACAAAAGCTAGGCGCACTTAAGCCATAACGACTTGTCCCAAATTGGCCACTTTTTGCTACTCTCAGATTGCTACTTCTCTGGAAGTACTTTAGATAGAGAGCTGTAATTTGACGCGGGATGGTTTTTTAATAGCCCCTAAAAGTTCAGCAAATTTCATGGAAATCGGAGGGGGTGAGGTAAATGGCTATGTTGATTTGATCATGCCAAATCTACGCGTTTCTTTCTCCTTCCGACGCGCGATCGTCGAGGACCTTCACCTGTCTTCCAGGACGAATTACGTAGGCCTTTGAATTAAGAAATGTAAATTTTATTGGTCGATTCGTAACAATGAAACTGATGGCCAATCCCGGTAATATGCAGTTCTTGACTTGGTGGATCTGTAGTTGGGCTGGTACACTAGGGAAAACTTTCCTTTAGTCTCATGAGATTTTCTTACGAAATTCAGTCTTGACAATGCCTAGTTGCCATGTGAATCATCGCAAATCTGCTTCTCTCCGCAGGTGACATCTTCATGTCATGTAGGTTTTCTGTGAGGTACTACACGGAAGACCACAATAGCTACACAGGCATGAACATCTCCTGGCTCGGTTGGGAAACGACATTAAACGATTCATTGTTCGAAGCATTTTTCCCGCCAGTGGAAGATCTGACGTCTTTCGACGGACTTCCTTATATTTTTCTCGCCCTCACAAACCCCAACGATGGTACTGATGAAGTTCATTCCCCCATTTTCCTTGAAATTGTATGCCTATTGTATATGCCGACCTTTATGCTTTCACGTCCTTCCCGGGCATACGCTCTTTAGAGTGCATGGACTTCTTNTCACGTCCTTCCCGGGCATACGCTCTTTAGAGTGCATGGACTTCTTTATTCATTCTTGCAGGCTATGACAAGTGGAAAATGAAACAGGTGGGTGTGGACGATGCCATTTCCTGGCTCCTCTGTGAGAGCAACTGTGAGTCATGCCCCATTCTTTCCTGGAACAAAGAGCATTTTCTCTGGGGTTCAATGAGCAATGTAGCTATGGATCGGCAATCGTTATCTAGTTGAACGAACAATCGAATTAGCTTGATTTCACATTCGCCGAGTTTATGCGAGAAATTTATTAATCATGATTTAGATTCTGATTGGGAACCGCCATACGATTTCTAGGTTTTCCTGGAGAGGTCAAGTCGGAAGCATCTTCATTTATGCTGTGGAGGATCAAGGGGGGGGGGGGGGGGTGGTAGGCAGGAACTTGGGAACCGCCCTCCTCCTTATGAACAATTTCTGTTTCCGCCTCAGCATCTATTATATTATGACGGTCTTGGCGGCCTGTCTCGTCAGCTCACCCTTCCGGAGTACTGAATCCGGCACGTTGGGGTACTAGCGAGATCCGCCCTCCAGTCCGCAGACCGGATGCCGACACCGGGAGTAACCGTAGCCGTACAGGCGGCTGTAGGATCGGGGTGAACCCCAACGAAACTCAGGTGCGCGGATACAGCCAAACTTTAATGTGAGCCACTGGGTTCAGCAACACAACTTAGTTTCTCCACCAGACCATTCAGGGCAATCCGGCCCGTCGCAAAGCAAACGAATGTGACAGCCAAGAAAGCTTAGTACATATGAACCGAATATCGACTGCGATTGCCAGACGCGAACGAAGAAACAGGGGACAGGGACAATAACGGAGCACGGGCAAGTTTTACCGCCTAGACGGTGATTCGGCACGAGGGCGTAGAGAGTACGGAACCTCGTTGACTCGGTTTGCGAATGTGGTCCTGAACTCTCCGCAGCTCTATAATAAGCCACCGGTTTAAGTCGTAAAAAAGGCGGCGCCAGAGGCGCCATCTCACGTCAATCCAAAGAAATACACATGTTCATGAGTCTGGTTTAAAAAAAAATACCCTGCACCCTGCAAATACACGTTTGGTAAACATTATGTGCACATCGTTACAATATGTAGGCGATTGGGGGTGACTGATTCTAACTCTAACCATGCTCTAGATTAGTAGAAACCTTCAAATTGTTATACCAGAATTGACTGCGTGTGGAATTCCGGACAAGTCCTTTTTTGAAGTACACCTCCTCAGGGCAATGGAAAAAAAAACCCAAACCTTTTCCCCATTCTTTTCTTGCAATTTGGAGGCGCGGTCACGACAAATATGGCATCGTTGAAAAACTCTCATAAGCTTTGTTAGACTAGAAGAGATTCCCGTGAATTTCCTGGGGAAGAAAAGGTGGGCCCAGTTGGAACACTAGACTCGTGCTCTCTTTTCGCCTCAGACGTTTCGGCCCGGGAAATTCCTGGGCCAGCTCGGGCTTTCATCTAGTCGAACTACTTGGCCCGAGAGAGCGTATCTCCTCTACCCGATTTCTACCCTCTTTACCCTCTGCTAGTCCTGCGCGGCATGTCCGCGCGTATTCGCTGGGAAGACCGTGAAACTGAAGCTTTATTGAAACTATTCAAGGAGCACAATGTTCAATCGATATTAGATTGGGCGGCGAGAAACAACAAGGCTTGTCGCCGGCCCGAAAAGCAGATGCAGGACAAAGAGGAAAAACTGAAAGGTCATTTACCTATATATACCTTATTTATTTGCATGAATCTCTCTAAAAAAAATAAAATTATACTGGCGAAGAGAATTCATAGCGTTTCCATATGCTGTACTGTCTGAGAAATAACATGTTAACAAACCGATATGCAAAAATCGTAAGAGCGAGTGTCCAGTGAAACAGCCGACCTGAGAAACTGATACGAAGTGCGAAATGCGTCTTCCATTCCCTCGGGGCGTGTTCCCGGGCCTTGAAAATGCTGTGGGGACAGAAGGGTCAGATATCTAATGAGACAGCAAATGAAAAATGGCATTTCCCGGAAAAAGCAAGACCCGGGGAATATCTTCTAGGCGAAACGAGGAGACTCGCACTAAGGGGCCTCACGGTGCCATGCGCCATGACTCCTGCAGGACAAGGTAATGAAGGGAAATTCAAGGGTCTGTCTCACCGAAATTGCTTCTTGAAAGCTTGCTTCCCCGTCCATTGGATGTATGCATGATTATTAAATATATGTGCAGCGTCCTGGAGATAAAATGTGGAACATATTTGCAGCTATTCAAAATCGGAGTCCTTAGGACGCGTACGTCCTCCAAAAAGGCGGAAATCTTGTATTTCCAGTTTTCATTCATTGTTGCCTATTATAATCAGCTGGTTTGTGTTATAAAATGCCCTTACGCCAATGCGATCACAATAAGCAGCACAATATTGTCATGTCGGCAACCGAAGCATGCGTGGTTCGTTACCTTGGCGGTTATTGTGTAACTAGGAGACTTTTTCAAGTCAAGTGCGCTACTTAGTTGGGGGAAAAGTTTCTGCTGCTCCATGGAAGCTGATTGATGCAATTTCAGTTGAAGACCTCAGAAGTTATGCAGTTGCATTTCTGGAAACCCGGTGCAACGCTTCTACTAACGATGGCGAATTTTATTGCCGAGAAGAGGCTTTCATGATTTCTGTCTCGTTCGATACTATTACCTTGAATTTCGTGTGTTACGTCATCTTTCCGTCTTCTGAAGAACGTAAATGATTCGTCATAATTCACGAGAGCAAGATAAACGCATGAAAATGGTATTATCTTATCGTATTTGGTCTTCTTTTATTGGCCAACTTAATGTACCAACTCATTGGAAAGAGCTGAACGAGAGGGAACCAATTTAAACGGCATAAGCCTCGCGCGAGGCTCGAGTCTTTTTTACCTCTTCACTTTTACTGGTTGGTATCGGAAGAGCGAAACTAAAAGTTGAACACCCGAAATGCAGAATGCTTGCGCGGTCGAAAGCTTTCGATTGAGCGGTTTGAACACTGCCAGATGTGGAAGGGCGAATGCATTTATACAAGAAAATTATTCAATCCCTTTCATGAATGGGCAGAATGAATGAATCTAAATGCAGTTGAATCAGTTGCTTGTGCACAAGGGTAGGCGGACAATAGATTACGATCCACGTATACTTCAGCTGCATTCAGGCAACTTTGCATGTTTTTGGCACTAAATTGTACGGCTGGAGGTTGTCCACGTCGTTCCAGGAAAGAAATGGAGCAGATCTGGTCTGGTATTGCATCGCCTATCAAAAACTATGAAGGTGATGTAGTATTGCCACGAACAGCCTATGATTCAGTGAACGATGTCAGACACAGACCGAACGGGACCATAAATGACCTTTATACGATGGGGAGTCCACTAAGCACAGTCTTGCTGTGATAAATGAAGATCGCGAACGCAGATGGCAAACGCTTCACGCCCGGGCAAGGCAAAACTGTTCTGGAATGGCCTGCTCAAGATATTCTTATGCGATTTTAAAATACATGGAAATGCTTCGGTAGAAGAGAATTTAAAAAAAAAATCTGAGAGTTTCGTGACTGTCAATAAATCGATCCCGATATGCCGACGATTCTGAAACTGGCATGATATTCGAATTCCATACATTCGACAAGCAATTCTTTGTTCGAAGGAAAAGTTGCCTCTTCGACATTATGTGCCTTGAACTGAAATGTTCTGCCTTTCATGCGCTCGTTCTTCATTGTATTCTGGATTCAGTTTCTTATGCCTTCCGGCTCATTGAGCAATCTGAGGAATCTGTTATTGGATCGTCAGATGCGGTTCCGACTGTTACTGGATGGGAAATAAAAGATTGAACAAAATGAGAGAAGGACGTAGCAACTGTACACACACGAGTGGCTGATTGATATACTTCCATCGTAAACCGTTAGTGAGGTATGAAAGGGACGGGTTAGGACGAGGCCCAAGATTTCGATACTGTCGAAATGCCTCTGAGCGTTCCAGTTCAAACCATGGACATGGAATTGAAACTAATTTTCCAAGTGAGCCACGTTCTCCATATTCCAAGTGAACTTCATGCTGTAAGAAAAAAAAAACTTGATCGTTTGGCTGTTTTGGCTGTCCAGTAGATAAAACCTATCGCGTTCCGCGTTATAGATCAATAAGCTTTGGTAACGCCTTTCTTCAACCTTCCTTCACCTCCTTCCCGTAGCATTATCCTAACTCCTTGCATTCCTCTCTGAGAGCATCACCGGCAACGAAATTTGGCATGTTTCTTCCTCTCTCAACACGAAATCGCCCCAGCAAATTTGAAGCTCCATCTCCCCTGGCCTGTGAACACTCCATCTCGCTGTTTCAATTTCGTTTCGATCCGTTTTCCCTCCCCCCCCTCTCCCCCCAACTGGGTAGCCACTCTTGGGGGTTTTGGAGTAAAGAGACCAATCACGGGTATGATATTGACTCATAAATGACGAAAAGTGCCCTATTTGTTGCTTGCAATGTACCATTATGCAATATAAAAAATGAAAATAGCTGACGTTCAATTAACCCTGTCTCAGTCAAGAAAGACCTTTTTTTTCCCTTTTCCCCCAACCCCCAAGGTGAAGTGAGAGAGAAAAAAAGGTTTTTCTTCTCCGAGACAGGGTTAGGCTTAGAATGTTGACCCTAGTACAGTCTCCCAGGGTTGCCAGATATCATGCGGGAGTTATGTCAGATTCATGGCAGCTTCTGCCTTCGTATCGGTGTCTGGATCTCCTTTTTTAATGTATGGGAAATTTTTGAGTTGAATTCATGAGAAGAACTGAGAAAAAAACGGTTGTTAGCAATGATTGATCGGTGTGGTGAGATGTGGAGATATCTTGTCCGGACATCCCTGAATTAACAGAATGGCACCATGCACCAACAGGGCGTTAGCGCCTATTTCACCATACATTTCATGCTTCTGGAGGCATTTTCTCCGTAGACCAAGTCAAGACGGTTCGAGGAACTCCAGATAAGTTAAGCGTTTCACGTCCTCACTGTAATGGTCCATGAAACTCGAAACGGCCTCGAATCGGTCTAACGTTACATGTATCTGAAATGGTTCGTGGAAGTCGGAATAGTCCTGCGATTGCCTAACGTTACATGTCCTCTACGAAATGTCAAGGAAACCATAAATTGATCCTTATAGGCCTAATTGGACGCATAAGTCGTGAGTGGGTGACTTTTGAACGAAAAACGGAAGGCCTGGGCCTGATCCGAAGAGAGTCCGTCGGTTAGGCCTAGGCCCAACGTGAGAGAAGCCCGAAGAGAAAAGGGGGGGGGATAGAGTTTGAGGGCTATCTTCGCTGGAGCGAATAGAGCCCCAGCACTTCTAAACGACTCATGTGAAAGTTCACGCTCCGCCGTGATCATTTAGAGAGCCCGCCTTTGAACCTTTTCGAGCGCCGCCAAGTTACTTTTGTTTGCAGGCCTCAAGAATCGAATGTAATTCCCTAAAGTGGGCCAAATTCATGCCGAATACAACGGAAGAATAACGAGGGAGCTCGAAACGGTACCCCAAATGAAACCTGGAGGAGTCCAGGTTTCATCTGGTTACACTTGGCTACGGTTGCATGCACGCGGGAGGAGAACTCGAGTTCCTCGTGGATCCCAACGTCTTTTCCTTTTTCAAGTTGTCCGATTCATGCTTGCTTAACACCCTAAGAGGTCTATCGTTATCGCGGTCGATTCGAAGGTTCTTACGTTTGCCCGTTCTTACGTGTCAAATATGACTAAACACAGCTGCGTCGTCATCCACGTTGAGTCTTAATACCCCCTTATAAAAGCAAGAAAACTTTTATTTCGTACCGACTATGTCTCAGATTGAACGGTGTTTCGACCTAATACCATGGAGGGAGAGGGCTTTCAATATTCCTGAAGCCATTTTCGTTCGCTCTCCTGACTCATTTGTATCCGTTCTCACAACTAAGGATCTCTCCTGGATCCGATTTCCTCATATTTTTTTATTTTCAGCTATGTACTGTTGGAACGAAGAGTATGCAATCGGGGCAGAGGAAGGTAACATTGGGGAGAGATCTTGCAATGGAAATGGTGAATATGGGACGCAGAAGTGGAATTGCTCCGAGAATGGATTCGAATTGATCCAGGACTGTTATGGTGATCTCAGTGGATGGATCGATCACCTCTTCGATTCCGTCTGTTCCTTCATTTTCCCTTCGATATAATTTTTTTTCATGCCCTAAGCAGACTTTTGAAATCGAATTTGGATCGTAAAAATGCGTTCTGTCGGAAAAAGGATCTTTTCGCTGAAAAATTTAGACCAGAATGCTGAAACCTCCTTTAGTTAACGGTCCTTTAAGAATGCATGGATGCCTATGGGAGAAAAAGAGCTCTTTAGCTTAAAGGCTCCTTTATCTCCTCAAAATGAGGTTTGTGCATTTGGGCTATATACTGTACTCTAAAATGAGACCAACGCTGTACGAAAGGACAAACAGGCCACAAAGTTTCTTAGTTTAAAGTTTTTTTTTATTATTAAACAGTGATTAGATAACCGTAGCGAACAGACTTGAAAGTAAATACGATTCGACCGCATCTCACTCACCTGTCCTTGCATTTCATTTCAAGCATGCTTCGCTAGCAAAGGATTTTTACGACCGATCATGGGGGATTGGTAGTACGCCGCTACATGTCATTCCGCGTTTCGGTTGTAACTGCTTCGTGTCAGCCGCAATAAAAAATCCTCTTGCTCATCATCCGCAATAAACAAAAAACGCATGCGCATCATCCGCTAACAGAGCGAAGCAGTTATGAACGACAACATTTTCCCCCAACAGAATATTTCGAACCCGCTGGAGGCGCTGGAGAACTTTACGCTTGCCATCGAGGGAGAAGAAAGTCTCTCCGGAGAGGAAATCCAGACCATATTGTCGTACCTCGAATTCCTATTTAACTTATTCCTGGACGACCTGGAGGACGCCGACGACCCCGTTTCCATGTCGAGTGATTACCTCTCCAATCTGACCAAGGTTGTGGACCTGGTCCTGAACGACTTCAGCGCGTGGCTAGAAATCCCTTCGGTGGGTTTACTTCGACTTGTCGAGTACTATTTGATTAGATGTGAAAGAGTACGATTTATCCCGTCAGACATTCCTCCTTCGTCTCCAGTAACCCCGAAATACCTTTTACTTGAAACGGAAAATGTTATTCAGAATTTTGGGGGGGGGGGGGGGGGGGGAGAAACAGGCACGCTCTCAGACCCGTTATGAATTTGCTGCAGATTTGTGGATCTTTCCTCCTGTATTTATAAAGGTCCCGTCAGGTTCAGAGGGTTGTAGGCATGAACACGGGAAATCAGGGAATTAGGGATAAAATTAAGGAAGTCGAATCGAGATTCCTCTACTCTGTAATATGTGAATGGCTAGCTTTAAATTTATTTTTTGCTGGAAATCTTCATTTTCAGGATTTCTCGGAAATTAATTTCCTTTCACTTTTCAGTCAGAAAGACCGGTCTTCATTTTTCTTTCACCAGAAGAGATAGGGGTATTACAATGGAAAAAAAAAAAATTCCCTCCACGAAAGGTCTCCAGCGTAAAAATAATGCATTTTCAGGCAGTTTATTTATTTTTAACGCATTATGCAGTATATGTTCCGATATTGTAACGAACCTGCTATTGCGATTTTGAGAATGTTGACATCGTCAAAAAAAAGATAGTCATAAAACTAATTGTTTAGGAGACTTAATACTCCGTTCCCAAAATTCGAGATCGCCTGAAGACGTGGTCGAAGGAGGAGAGTTGATCTGGATCTTGGAAAAATCTGAATTGAAGGAAAACCGGAGCCTGACGTTCTCCTCGCTGACGGAAACGATGACGAAGTCGGGGCTGGAGCTGGCCGATGCCTTGGTCTCACGCTTTGGGGTGGAATTTTCATTCCGGGATGGCAGGAGAAATCTCCTGATCGAGGTGTGGGGAAAACGGAAGAGCGACTGTTCGGATCCCCTCGTCTTTCCGAGCGAGAAGGGGAAGACGTACGCGACGCTCCCACGAGGTTTCCAGGAACAAGTTCAAGGCGAGAGCTACGCCGTCGTCGGTGTGCTTTATCGCCTGGAGAACTTGAACGCGCTGCTGCCCGGCAATCGGACCTCGTGAGTTTCCTTTTCTGTGTTGGAGGCTCGGTCTTTCCGATCGCTTTTAATGGGCGTTGCACGCACTGAGCTAAGAAATAGAAATGGAGATGGCGCACAATACAATGGTTTTGGGGCAATTGGAAGCCATCTTAGTTGGGTCTGTGGTGGCTCTTCTCCATTCACTACAATGGGATTTTCATAATTTCCCAGCCCAGTTTTCTTGCTGTCGTGATCATGATGGCAGGTAGTCATGGTACTGGA